AATTTATTCTTCTACCTTTATCAATTGGAATAGATTCACCTTCAATAAAAAATTCTTTACCAGTATCATCAGTCATTGAACCATCTAAAATGTAATACTTTGCATTATCAACATAATTCGGATCAGTTCTTTCAACAATATATTCAAATCCCACTTCACTATGTTCGGAAACTACTTCAAGTTCTCTAAAATTAAAATCTCCGAGAAGTAACCTTTCTATTGATAAGATTTCTTTATCTGTAATTAAACCTGTCCAATATTTTTGAGGACTTTTAGGCCAATCATAACCATCATTTCGAAGGCACCATAAAATTTTATTTGAAGAATATACCTATTAAAAAATAAAATAATATATTAGAAAAAAAAAAAAAGATAATTTACATAAAAAAATACAGGAAAGTATATAATTGAAAAAAAAAAACTTACATCAACCATGTGAGTCCATTGTAACCATTTATCACATTTTCTTGAATCAAAAATACAAGATTCAGGAACAATAGGTTTTCTTTCTTCATAAGAAAAGTATAAAAGGTAAATATGCAAGGCATGACAATCAAGCATAGGAAAAACCGCATCATTATTAGGAAGCCAACGAATTACTCGTCCACGTAATTTGACAGCAATGCTCTCTATAATACTATCAAACGGACCCAAACCTATAGACAAGGTAAAAATATATATATATATTATAATGATTAGAACAATATTGAGAATATAAAAATATAAAATTTGAAATTAAAATTGAATACCAAAGACTAATAACATTGAAATGATTTTTATAGATATAAATATACAAGCAAGATGCTTCAAAGTAGAGTCCATGTCAGCATATAATAAATGAAAGACTTGAGAACAAAATTCCGGAGCACGCATTTCAAGAAGTTTTTTGGAATTTCTTCCATCTAAAATGAGATAAATACAGTATTAAAAAGTAGATTATATTCAATATCTATGTATTAATATTAATATATAAAGTGAATATATAAAGTGAATATAGGTAGTAAAATTAATAATATAATATTATTAATCCATTACTTTACCTATAATCACCTTATATTAATTAATATATATTAATAACTAACCATTTTCTGAAACAAGAACCCATAAGCACGTCAAAGCATTTAAGATATTATTTAAAGTTGATTCATTTATAGATAAATCATTGATAGAACAATTTTCTAAAGCGAAAAGACTAGAATCCATATTATCAACATTTAATTGAGAACGTTGAAAAAAAATTTTTCGAAAATTTGAAGTAACAAAACGTCGTTTTCTTGCAGAAATATCATATTCAGACATAAAAACTTGTTCCCATACTATACGATCATTTGATAATTTATAAAAAATTTTGCATACTAATGGTAAAGAAGTTACAGCAGTCTTTGGTGGATTAGGATATTCAGATAAAATAAGTTCATATAAAATTTTTAAAAGTACTTCAGTTGGTAATGAACATAAATTTAGAACAATAGGAGGATTAAGAAATTCTTCAATAGTATCATTTTGGGAATCTAAATAAACATAACTATCGATATAATCATTGAAATTTTCGAGCAATGAAAATTCCGAATTATCGTCCAGAATATCATTTTGACAAGAGTAAGGGACTAAGTACATGAAAGGAATTACCGGTAATATCAAAAAATTGTCAAAAGAGATGGATCGAATTGATTGATTAATGAATAAAATAGATGTAAGAATAATTAATATATAATAAAAAATTACCTTGATTCAGACTTCCCATATAACGAAAAAGAATTAAAGTGGCTTATAAAAAAAAAAAAACCAACTACGGCTATCATTGATATTTATTCAGATATTAATTATCTCTTCATGTATTAACATAAGCTCGCTACATTAAAGGAAAAAGAAACAACTTACCTTCTCGAATTGTAAGAGTTGCACAAATGGTCAATAACTTATCTGTTATATAATAGATAAGTACGTACGTACGTACGTACATACAGACGTACTGTATCGGTATGCATTTTATGTGTGATGAACAAGTGCCTGGAACTTTGTATAAAGATCAACATGTGCGACAATACATAATAATACATTAACCTTGATGAGCACTTGTCCTTGTGATATAACGAGAAGTACTTACTAAAGTAGTATTGCACCCTAATACAGACGTACAGTACAGTACGTAAAGTACGCAACGTTGACAAAGCATGTAAAATAAATTTTCTCCAGGTATTCAATTTTAAAGATTGAATCAGGTGAATACAAAATATAATAATTATTTTTTTTTTCGCGTTCAGGTAAGACCAGATTATCATTTTTAATTGCTGTCATAATTCTTTTCGTGTTAATGTAAGGTAAGAGTAGATTATCAGTTATTGTTATTATTTTGGTACTATCTTAATTTTTGTTCTAACTTAAATTGTCGTATCGTATTACTTTTTCTTGTAGTGATATTCAGGATGCTATGTATCAGTTATTGATAATTTAGTACATGCCGATACGTATTTACGTTTACACGTATTATATTTTAGAAAATATAGGGGTTGTGTACTTTAAGGTTCACCGAGAAATTCGTAATACGTAGACATAAAAAATCGCTATTCCAGTAATGTTATTAAACACCCGTTTTTTAGATAAAATTATCGCACGTGAACGATATTCACAAAAATATTATTTTATTTAAAGGTGTGATTTTCTTAACGTTAATAATTACATGGTAATCTTATGACAGTTCACCAAACTAAGATTTTAATAACTTATAATTTGGGAAAGATTTTTAAATATATCGTAAAATAAGAAAATATAAATGAAAGAATTCCATCATTATTATAATTACAAAAGGATTTGCTGAATGTGTATGTTAGTATTAAATATTAGATTACGGAAAGTATGTGTTTTTTAAAAATAGATTTATTATCTGTTATAGCCTATGTCGTGTTCCGAGATGATTGCCACAATTTGGGCAACTGTGTGTTACATCTAAAAAAGTAAATAAGGATATTTAAAATTAAATAAAGGAATAAAGAAAAATAATAGTTTGAGATTAGAGAACAACAAACCTTTACAAGAATCCACAACAAAGGGAACCCAAAACAGCACCACTGTCAAACCAAATAGTCCCATGGCTAATATGTATGCAAATTTACCGTTTTTATGATGAATCTGTGTCGTAACTAGTTTGCTACAACTAGTACATTGAGTTTTTACGGGAAAATCGGGATATTTTAATGAAGGAAAACTTGAATCAGTACCACGTTTCTTTTGTTTTTTCCGTATTTGAGTATCATAATCAGTATGAATTTTTAAAGACTGATCATTTTCTTCACTACTTGATGTGCTTAGTAGAGAACTACTCATATTAAGTGAGGAATTGATTTGGATTATGTTAAAGGATGATGCCATTTTATGCTAACGTGAGATGTAATGAGTAATGATAAATGAAGGTTTTACTTCTTTCTTTTTTTTTTTATATGATTTTTTTTTTTATTATTTTTTTTAATTTTTTAATAAATGAAGATTGATTGATTTGATTGTAAATATTAACTTGAGGGGTTATTAGACATATTTATAGAAAAAAAAAATTACGCCTTTTGCACCACAGTTATGTACTACTACTATATTGGTCACATTACTACCATTGGCTATGCCACAGAAAAAAATAGAAAATTTGTGTTTCATATAAAATTTTATATAAGCGATGAACGAACAATGTTGTATTAATTATTAAAGAATACACCACAAAATACTACAAGCCAAATTTGTTACACAGAAAATCGGAGTTGCTTCTCATTTGTTCCATAAATTGTTACGTGTATTCATTGTAATTTTATACGTACGTATTGTATTTTATCAATATTGTTGTTTAGCCATCCGTAGGCTTGTGATTAGTGGCTTATTTTTTTTTTTTTTTGCAAGAGTTTCTAGAAACGAAATAGAATAAATTAGCCAAAAAAAATCAAAAGTATTAGTCTATATTCGTATAATTATACAAGTTATATCGATATATGTAGATTCTTTTTAACGTAATGTATCGATATTTTGTAGATTTAGAGAACAAGGATAATGTAAATCAAAAATAGAATGTATGGTCTATAAAATGCCCGTTTGATAAAGCTCATGACCCGAACACCAATAAACTAATTTAGGGGTTCATGCAATTTGAAGATCATAAAATTATTCCCAGCAATAAGACTTTTAATAATAAATTTGATACATGTATTGTTGTAAAATCAGAGACGAATATGAAAAAGCAATATTATGTTTTTTAATAATCACATGCATATTGCAGATTTTTGGAACTTTGGAATCTTCCTATTAATAAAAAAAAAAACTGGCTTTACGAATTTGACATAATTGATAGATCAGGGACCAGTATAAAATGAAAATCCAAACTGATTTAAATCTAAAAATAGTACGTATCACTTTTTCTTGCGTCATCTTTTTAACAAGAGTTGTGGCTTATATTCAAAAGACTGATTTTTATGAATTCTAAATAATTATTCTAATTATTCTAATAGTTCGATTATCTGTAGTTAAAATAAAATACCCCAAACCTGACTTTATCAAAGATTGGCTATAATAATGTACGTACAACACATAATGTTTATTTTATTAGCTAATAACAGTAACATTAAATATTAATACGTATTAACAAACAAAATGTTACGTAACAAGATGTATTTGGTAATACTAATGTTACTAAATTTGGCATATTATTAATTAATAGATGTATATTACTAATTTTGTATGTACAATATCTATAGAGACATACTGTATTACGTTGAATGGCAAATTAACAAACCTACCAAATTACTTAATTAGGGAAACTGTCGATAACATAGTTTTTATTTACTACAATCGATTTGTAAACTAGAAAAACGGAAAACTGTTGTTTTGTTACACTTTTAATACATGTATATAATAACAAATGTACAGTACATACTGTATACCTGTAATTTTCTAAAATAATTTTTTTTTGCTTTTAAAATTATTATAATTTTAGTAAATGTTATATAAAATAATTC